CAAACCGTGGACGAAAAATTCCAGAGAACAAAAGAGAACAATATCGTCCATGATTCCCAGCATACGTCCGCGATTGGAGTCGTGTACAAAACCTATGGGAGTCTTCCTAAAAAGAGTACAAACAAAAGAGGGACAATCTGACGTCCACAATCGAAGGTGTGAACGCACTTGTCTGTTTATGTACATGTACATGTACAGTTTTACCTCATTAATCATTTGTGATCCCAATATACATGCACTATATGTACATGTAGCTCTGCGTGTCTTTGAGCATGTTCAGTGGCAAATATGTACCAGTACATGTACATGTGCAGTATCTTTGTAAGTACATGAACAGTAAGTAAATTGACAAATGTACAAACTGTTCTATAAACTGTATAGTACCACATATATTTGTCACCATTTTCACTACCTCCCTGACACGCATCCACTGTGTGCTTTCAGTTCGTGAAAACCACGTAATCAATCATTTGGGTTTCACAAACTGACATGCGGATGTGAGCTCGGACTTCGTACACTCACGCGTAATAGAATAATTTTGGTTTTCACGAACTGAAACGCAAGCTTGTCGCGAAAATGCAATTAATAAAAATGAAAAACACTTTGAAAGGTTTGACACGAATTTACTTCATCCGTATACATACTTGTGGGGTTACAAAAACATTTAATTAAAGACCTTTTAACTGGTGAAATTAAAGGGAATATACAACATTTGCAAACATCGAAAAATAAAACTACCAAGTTTTTGCGAAATACCTTAATAGGATGTTGGTAAATGACAGTCTAAAGCATCCTGTAAAATTATGGCACCTGGTATACTGTCATTTTCAAGAAAATTGGTATTTTTGTATCAATTTCCAACGCTGATCGGCCGATTAGCGTTGGAAACAACTGGCTTTTTTTTCAAATACTGGCCACAATTGACCATTGCACTTGTTTGCAATCCATTACAAACCTATGAACGGGTACGGGCCAGCTAGACTGGTTCCCTGACCTTACAATTCCCCAATGTATGTAAACTGCTCTGTTTCTTCTTATATGGAGTCAGGGAACCAGACTACAGGAAAATGATCGTTTTTCTTGGTTTTTATAGCATTTTCGAACCCAAAACCTCCAAAAAGTCAGTGTAACTATATTTGCTTCATATTTCCAACCCCCCAATTCCATCCATTTCTGAAAATTACAGCAAAAGCAAATGATGTATATTCCCTTTAAGACAGGTTCCAGTTTGTAAAAACGAAAACGTACCTAGTGCGCGCATGTAGTACCTGGTTCTGTAAAGTTAAGTACGCACGCGTGCCAGGCACTCACACACCAAGTGTCAGTTCGTGGTTTCGGTGACAAATTCTGCATATACATTGTATACATGTACATGTACTTAAAAACCATAGCAGCATTGAATACAATTAGACTTGGTCGAGTAGAGCACCCACACAGTATTCTGTACCTGTATAAAATTGACTGGAGCGGGGCTTGAACCTGCGACCTCCTGTTTACGGTTCCGGTGTTCTAACAACTGACTGAACTGAGCTATCCAGCCCTATGTGGCACATGCAGGGAGGAATTTGTGGCTTATATTTGAAGATTTGTAACAAAAAGCCATATCCTCTTTGAATGATCTCTGTTTGCTATTTCCAGGGTTTGCACCATTGCTAATGTTGCTAGAATTATGACTTTAGGCATGATCCCTGGCTACATGACACGTATACATACATGTATGGGTTTATGACTTCTGACTAGCGCCCCTTGAACAGAGACACTGACAAATTTGGGAACTGCCAACATAGGGCTGGATAGCTCAGTTGGTAGAGCACTGGAACGGTAATCTGGAGGTCGCAGATTCAAGCCCCGCTCCAGTCAATTTCTTCATTCAACTTTTGAATTTTTTTAACATATTTTAATTAATTTATTGATTGATTCCAATTTATCCTGGGTATATCAGCTCAGTACTTTATTCCGATGCCCAGAAAAGTTTACAAAAATAAACAAAATTACACCCAAATTTAACAATTAAATTTGTACATGATACAACTGGACACCTAAAAGCATGAATTACGCGTGGATGTAGCATTGACAAATTCTTGGTTGTGGTACCTACATGTTTTGCACGCTGGTAAACTTGAAAAAGATGCTCGGCTGGAAAATGAAGGTGAGGTTGTTTCCCTGAAAGTGATCATTCATCCGTTTCACACCCCCCCCCCTCCCCCAGGTTCATCTGAAAGTTCAGCACCAGCAATTTCCATTTGTATTCACCAAAGTTCTAAAAATACACCGTCGGAAGCCAACAGAACAGCAGTTGCCAAAGCCGTGAATGAATTGAAACATTTCCCTAAAGGCGTCTGCATGTACATTGTGTGCGGTACATCGTGTTCTTGCAGTCACTAAGGCACAATAGTGAGCCACGCTTTTATGTGACCTTAGATCGAGCATAACAAAATAACCCTATCATGGTTTCCATTCACATTAACGTCAACAATGTGATAATCCTTTTTGATTCTAATATTCATACTTTTGAAATATCACACTTCTATAATTTCCACAATCGGTCAAAAAGGGATTTATGGAAACGTAACGACCAGATTTAAAAAAACAAAAAAATGCCGATTTTTTTTTCAGTTTATAATATCACTGACTGGTCATTAGAGCCGTTTTTAATGTTCAAAGTTTCCATTGCACACATCATTAAACAGAAGTTTTTTAACGGTAAAAAGCTGCAAAGTTTTTCCTCCCTTTTTTCCTACACATTTTTTCCACCAAAAATAGTTACATGTAGATGCTCGGCCGAATGATAACTGATTCCCAGACCAAAAAATTTGACTATTCTACCGAATCTTAGGCAAGTTAAAGTCACATTCACAAATAAAATAAGACGCAGCAAAGCCCAGCCCTTGTAAATGCATACTTGAGGTACAATGTCTACATTGGACATTTAATACAGATACTTGGTAATGCAACCGACATTGAAATTTTTGGGGAGCTGGGGTTCGGGAGGGGGGGAGGGGCTGGGGTTCAGGAAGGGGGATGGGGGCAGGTTTTGATGTTGGGGTTGTTTTTTTTATGCAAAATGTAAACTAGTGTTATTCTGAGGTTTTGGGTTTTTTTGGTTCATGCAGTAAGTATACATTCATATGTCTGTTTTTTTTCTGGATGCCAAGAGTGTCTCTGTACACGTAGCATGTGCACCGTATCTGCCAACTTCAGCCACTAAAAATTGGGTAGGGACCAGTGAAGGAAGAAAGGGAACCAGGAGGGGTCTTCCTGGTGGGGCTAAAGCAGTACATGCATTTTACATGTGTACACACTCACACAAAAATGAGTGCAAATACGCACTGCAGATTAAAACCTGGGCCTGAATGACAGGCTTTCTGAAGAGAAAGCAAACAACTTTAAAGCACAGGCCACTTATGGTCTGGCAGAATATTGCCACATGCACTTAATAGCACAGAACAATTACAATTAGTACCACTGCCTTAATGATACATTTACATGTAGATGGGCCAGGCAAGGGAGTGACGAAATTGGATGCACAATGCATTCCAAGGTTGTCCGATTGTACTATAAAGAAAAGTCCATTGATGTAACTTAGGGCATCCCTTTTTATTTCTTTGATTCACATTTCCAACCGACCCTATTTTGGGCTCCCGACCCCAAAAATAATAATTACAAAATTGAGGCCATCAGGCTCTGTATTATTTGAAAAGCTATAGAAAATGACTACCAGATTTTTACGTGAAATATGGCGTATAGCAACCAGTGGAATCCCAGAAGAGGCGAGAATGTTGCCTGTCATCATATTACATGCATGGGCGTCGCCAGGATTTTTTCTAGAGGGGGCAAAAATCATTTTTCCCCAAAAATCCCTGTACTTTTCCAGCATATTCTCAATTTATCATTTTTTGAGGGTGGCAGGGACATTTGCCCCCCCCCACCCCATTAAATTAACAGCAATATGTCCTTGTGCCTCTTTTTCTTTCTTTTTACATAAGAAAGGTATATGTCATGTCAGCTACTACAGTCACGGAGCAGATATAATGTAAGTCAAGTACGTTCATCTTGTCAAATATGGTTTTACAAATTTTTTCAGTCATGTATACTCATGAAAACCTCATTGCAATAAAAAAAAAAAATAGAGACAATACACAATTGGCATCATTTAATTTTTTTAGCTTTCTATACCGGTGCAACTGCAATTTTTTTTCAGATTTTTTTTATTTGACCGACCAACACTACTTCAGATGCAAAAATATATGAGAACCATTGAAATCAAATCCCCCCACCCTAAAAAAAATGAGTGTGCATGCAGGGGCTGGTTTTGTTAATAAAAATATTAATAAGCTATGAATGTACAAAACCAATCTAATTAATGACAGAAACCTTGCTCGACTGGATATCAAATACCCTGTGAAATGATGTCGCTTGGAAGAAAACTGACATTAAAAGTGGTTTCAAAATACATGAAAAGTTCCCACAGCCACATTCTTTACATGTACATTTTGTACAGCAACAGAAACCGGTTACGAGACCCAAACATACGCCTCCTCCATTTTCTCAAAACGTTCGACAGCCACTGAGCTTAAACTTTCAATAGGTAAGTCATTAAGCACTGTATTCAACCAGTTCACGTCGGATGACGTGCATACACGCAAAGGTTTTGCGGTATTTGGAACGGATGACGGATAAACACGCAGGGAGCTTCCCTCAGATGACAGCCTAAACCCATCTGGCATCGAGGGGTTTGTGAAAACAATCCCGCGCCTGGGTCTGGTCAACGTCAAAATAATCCCGGCCCGAACTGATTAAGATTTGAGATATTTTGTTGCTTCAAAAAAAACAAAAATGCGCAAAAAGCAAATGATCCTACGCACATGTAATAGACAAAAACCTATAGAAGTGATCAACAGACGTTGATGCAAAATAAATGATAGAAACAAATATCACGAAAAGTTTTTTTTACAAAGTTACAAAACTAAACACAACAAAAAAATAATCAGGTACGATACCTCAGGGTAATCAAAATCCGGTGAACTTGAGACGTCTTGAATATAATCCAGTCTAAACTGGTTCTGAGGTTCTGCTAGTTGAATGGGAGGCGTTAGGGTGCTCATCGCTCCCGTTATTGTCTGTTGACGGAGAGAAAAAAATGGATTGAAACGATAATAATTTGTTGGACAAAATACATTATTTGCAGACACATATTAAGGCTGTGTCGAATATACCAAGTATTCAAATATTTTATCATCCTCCGCATTGTGGGCACATGTGGTCTAGCAGAATTCATGATCGTGAGATTGTGGGTTCGAGCCCCGCCATGGCCATGCGCTTTACCTCAGTTACTCCTCTCAACCAAGGTATTCAATGGGTATCGGCATTATTCAATGCTGGGAAGGTATTAGACTCGCTGTAGAGGAGGTGTGGCGATCCCCCACAGCAGCATTTCATGGACTCGAGTCTGACCCAAGCACTTTGAAAGAGAGATGGGCACTCCGTTCCTGTGAACACAGGTTTGTCCCCCTTTACCCTCCAAATATATCAGAATGGCATTCTTTTCAATTCAAATATTCAAAAAAAATCTGAGTTGTCTCGAGGAAATGATGAAAAGTGTCCAGGACATTATTTTAATTGTGTAAGTTATGTGGTTTTATCAGTTTGTCAAATGCCACACTTTGCATGACTTGAGAGCTTCCGTGAGGATTCGTGGCTTGAATTCATTTTTTAAAATCAGTCAAATATCACTATTTCGCTAAAATAAAAATCTCAATGAGCTCTTTGTCAATTTTCAACAAGTGCAGGTGCACACATCCCGATTGGCGCTCTGTTTCGGCTAACGCATGTAAAACCATATCAGCACATTTGGAAAATTTGAATATTCTATCAAGTCCTTGTTAGAATAATCAAATAATAATTTATTCGAAAAAATGCACAGCACTACAGAATAACCCCAAAAAGGGGTGAAATTTTTTTCTTGTAGGGCATTCTCCGAAGGGCATTGAGTATCCTGGATGCATGTTTTGGACCAGCAAATGGCCCAGTGTAGGAAAACTGCCCTCTTTGTGATCACACATGTGGCAATCTTATAGGGCACATTACAAAAGAACTGTATTCCATCATTCTCGGGTTACTGTATCTTTAATGTTATACTTGTTAAAATTGACTCATGGTCACAAAGATTGAACTTTGAAGTATCCATGAAAACAGTCTATAGGCAGACTTGGTGCTTGGGTGCACTTCTGAATTCTGGGTTCCGGGTTCAAACCCCGGATTCTGAATCCTTGGAATCAAAGCGTGCATCGCTATCTACTTACCAAGATTGCATCTCGAATATTCCTTCGTATGTCCTCTATTTTCTTCTTTCTCTCTCTGGTTTTAAAAACAAAACACAGATGTTAAAACACAATTACATTCATTACATAAGGCCTATTGCTTTGATGTCCACTAGGTAACAAGTGCGACCAGGGGTCAATTTAGAAAAGAAAAGTTACATGCACAACTGAGATTTTCCTTGAATATGGGCTGAAAACAGAAAACTTGCATGCACAGGCAAACTTTTACGTATGCACAGAGCCAAATATGCATCTGTGCATGTAAAACCCCAGACTGAGACCTGGAGTGCTCTGAAAGGTGCAAAACTAAATCATGCCACCTTTACTCATTCTTTTGCCAGCAAATTTCTCCCAAATTTTCATTGGGCAAAGAAAAGGTCCTCAGTATTTCACCAACCAAGTTTGCAGACTCAATTCAATTTTTAAAGGAAGCATTTCTTTAATATTTTGCATATGAGATGGAAGTCAAGTGATTTCAAAATGGGGCTGAAGACTAGACTGGTACATGTCCAACCATGGTCCAACTGTTTGAAAAGATTGACCTCCTCATTCAGTGTCATTAGTCTGGTGGCTGACTATGGAGAAATGTGTAGCAAATAGAGACTAGTTCCCAGTTCTTGCCACATGTTTCTTTTGGCACAGTTGATTGATGCAGTGCAACGGTGTTGGACTGGTTGTTTCAGGTGCCAGTCCATTTTCTTGCATTGCATGTTTTCAATACCTTAAGTTTTGGGACTCTCATACACAGTATTGAGAGTCCCAAATTTTCGGACTAGTAAAACCCCTCTAAATTGACCACTGAGTGCGACGTATGTGTTTAAGTCAATACCAAATGAACGCGAATGGAAAACGCTGATTCATAGAAAAAGACTGCAACACCTGTATGTGTATGTAGCTTGTTCATCTACTGTGGTATTCACTATTGGTAAGCCACCTAACTGGGCTGCTTTCAGTAGTTCGGTAAACATTTAAAATTGCAAAATATACTCCATTTTCAATATGGGACCAATATGAGAAGAAAAGATCACACTCAGCTTTTTTTTTTTAATCATATTCTAAGTGAGTCTTAATATCATGTGACATACAAAAAAATATATATCTTTTACCGCACAAGATGCACTGCACTAATGTGCAATCTTAAAATGAACGTGCGGGAAATCGTGAATTTAGCAGGTTGATCCAATGATGTGAAGTATTTCATGTATACACATTTTTTTCAAATTCCATGCGTATGCCACCTTAGCATGCTTAAAGAGAAGGCAGTAGATGTATAAAATTGTATCCTGCACAAAAAAATGTAAAGCCAAATAAAAAAACAAGTAGGTTCTCGTCCAGCCTTTTTGAAAAAAATGAAGGTGGTGGACCCCTTTTTTCCTCTTTATTACGCCAAAGATGTCAAATTTTCCAAGACGACGGATGGATTCTTCAATTCTTCTCGACTATGTTGCTGATACAAAATTGTGTCCAAAGGAACCATAACCCATTCTACATACCTACAATTTTGTTTGAAAAAATAAAAAGGACAATATATTTTGACATTATGTGCAAAAACATGTATACTGCAAATGTATGAATTAAAAAAAAAATCTTTTTTAATAGGAGGTGGCTGGGAAAAAAAGGAAGCGGGCGGGGACAAGAAACTGGTTTATTTTTTACTCGGCCTTATAATCCGTGTATGATCAACACTGAACAGTAATAAATGCAACATCTTACTAACAACACCAGGATATATACATGTATATGTACATGTATGTATCTCATACAAGTGTGGTTGCTACTAGCTACAGCAACTGGCTGTGCACTACTGGCACTGCATACATATTACATGTAGGCCCTTGGGTGCCACAATCTTACATGATGTATACGCGTACTGTACATGACATGATTGTATTCTATGTACTTCATATTCATGCGAACGCTAATACTTGATGCTCGTTGGTGCATGCTACGTACATGTATATCATGTATTTTTGTAAAGTCAGCAACAGCACTGTGACATGAATGTTTATGTCCCGTATGGCAACAAAATGTCCTTACGTCTAATGACATGCAGGGTACGTGCCCTATGGGCTCTGTGCACATGTACCCCCTCAACGGCTACAAAGAGAGAGTTGGGGGAGGCCACTGGGAGGGATATTTTGAACGCATTGCCAACGATGCCTGACGCTCACGTGAAGACGCTCACGCACGCGCAGACACTATAGTTTTTGTGCACATTCAGAATATAATAAGCAGTTCATATTTCGGGCCATATGCACGTGAACCATTACGCATGTATGTGCAAATAATTTTGACAAAATTGTATGTGGTGTGTCCAGTCCAGTGGGCTCTCAAAAATGCGCTATATACCGTTCGTGCACATAGTCCGTATTTATAAGCGTTCAAGGTCACGCAGTTGGTAACTAATGTGGCCAGCAAATATTAATTAATTAAACATGTACATACTACATGTATGCATCATGCACAGGCCCATGTCAGCGGGTTCGGCGATTGTGGAGTTTAGGTCACCTCAGTCTTTTTGATTAACAAGATTTTGTCCCTTCAAAATGACATTTGCAACCTCAGGCAATCTTCTCTTAATTAATTAATTATATTGACCCTATTTGTTTTATATTTTGAACAGTATTTTGGGAGAAAATGCATCTTTCTTAACTGATATTCCAGTAGCAACCGTGCGAACCATGCATTTGTCGCTGCATAGTCACCGTCGTCTTTTTTACCCCATAACTTCCCTCAAAAATCAAAACCCTGCCCTCTTTCTGCAAAATTAATCCTGCAGATATTCAACACGGTGTCATCGTTATCTACTTATTAAAGGGGAGTCCAAAAAGTTTAAAGTTGATTTTCGTTCTCCTACAGGAACCGGGTCTAAACTCTATAATCCCCGGTGGGCATACCTACTTATTAACATACATATGTACAATGTACGTACACGTATGTAGGCAACACAAAAAATGTATGCATCTTTTATGGCCGCCTGCGCTGCGACAAAGCTTTGGGAAACAGAGCTGAAAGAATACAATCCAGCTGCAACTTGTTAGCAGTCTGTAAGGTCTGCAGCCAACGTTCAGTTTCAGTCATGGATATGATGGAATTTTCTCACGGCCCGTTGGCGTGGTTTTGACACAGCATCTTAAATCTAAATATAACTCAACCAGAAATTAATGCCCTAATGCGCATGATGCTAAGCGCGCAATTTTTTTCTGCTCGTTGGAATTTTCATGCTATTTTGCAGGCTCTATGGAAAGTGATTAAAAAGCAAGCTTATCTCAAAATTCACAAAGGTTTCCAATTTGGGTCGTAAAGCATGCATGCAGATTTTTATGCTAACTCTACAGCAGAATGAAATTGGCCCTTGACCCCAATTCGCAGGCATAGCAAATACGCTTTATTTGCATTACTTCAAAGTGTAGTGGAAACTAGCCATGCCTCCCCCCTTAAATGGGTGGTTTCACAAGATTGGTGTTAATTTTCATTGCAAAATCTCAAAAAGTGCATGAACTGCATTTTGTGCACATACACACTGTATTTAAGATTTCTTGTTAATAAATATGACTTACAATAAAGTGAAATTTACTGTTCAATTTCCAATTCGTGTTTGAATTGCGATGTGGTCTTCATGCCCAGCGTTCACTCGATGGTCCCCGTATCCCGAGTGCGATTCCATTACCGAGCGCGCGCGATGCATCTATTATGATAATGAGTAGACTGAATCATGTTTGTAAATACAAGTGCATTTCGAACGATAATAGGAGTTGGGAACTAGGGCAGATTTTATGGACAGAACCAGTACAAGCTAGTTCCCGACTCCCTATTGTCGTTCGAAATGCACTTGTGTTTACAAACGTGCCCCAGTCTACTCATTATCATAATCGATGCATCGCGCACGCTCGGTAACGGAATCGCACACGAGATACGGGGACCATCGAATGAATGCTGGGCATGAAGACCACATTGCGTCGTTCAAACATTACCACGAGTCGGTAATTAATCTTAATCTTCAATGTCTAATTGTACCTCAGGTGGCGTATCTAGTAATTTGGAGGCCGTTTTGAGTGTGAAATCTAATGTTTTTGTTGGGCAATGTTGGGTTTTTGGGTCAATGACAGAATTGTGTTGCTCGGCATATAACTTAGGATTAGCTTGGACCCTACTATCGCCAGACCATGTCCGAATGTTAAAAAGGCGATAAGTTGGGTCCAAGTTACTCGGACTATGTTAGGCCTACATGTACATATACATAATTCACAAATTAAAAAAAAAATACACAACGAGGATAGAATTAGAACATGTACAAATTATGCCTCTGAAGCATTGACCAATGCAGTTTAGACAAACAGATATTTATTATTTTGAAAAGAAAAAAAAACTTACTCAGGTGAAAATCCATCTACGTGTAGAATCCTCATTTGTTTGACGATGGTACTTTTTCCCGACTCACCGGCACCTGAACAGAAAATTGAACATTAAAATGTAAACACATTTCCAGAATTTAAAAAAAATTGAGTTTATTATAGGAAGTGTTGATTGCAGCTTGATTATCACTCGATGAAAGCAAAATTACTGAGGCCGGCTTGAGGGTAAATCCTGCCTGGCAACAGAAAGATTTTTAGGGGACAAATGTGTGACCCTTTTGCCATTCCCTCGTTCACTACACTGATAGTACATGTACACACACATTTTGCTCTCGTACTAACCAAGCAGGAGTAACCGATGTGTCGCCCTGTAGATTTGTTTGTCCTTTTGGAGTTGCTTCTCGATCTTCTTATTTGCGTCTTTCCTCCTCCTTTCTTCGTCGATCTCTTCACTGGACATGCCATTTCCAAAACACCCCATTACAACATCCACCAACACAGTACGTGTGTCTCTCCTGTTTCGTCTTGCACCGGGTGTGTATTATTAAAAAAAAAATCTCCTGCTTGAGATTTGCTAGAAGAGCTCTAGCCGCCGCATGCACACGGGAATTTTTTTATATATATATCAGGGCCGCCGCCTTCAGCTCAGCACAGAAGTCGCAGCGTAAAAATCCGTCGGGTCCGCTCGTCGTGAGTTATCCCACCACAACCGCTTCGACAAAAAAAACGTTTCCACTTGCAGTATTCCCAGCACCAGCACCGCAGGAACCCCCCTGGTACGTCGCCACGACGTCCCACGATGTTCCCTACCGATCCGCGGTGCAATTCCTGGACAAGAAACCGTTCTAAATCGTGGTTTTTCTGGCGATGTTTCGTCGACCATCGGCTGGTTAGCACTCCATAGTATGGCAGTGGTTTACGTGTGTGTGTACGTACGTCCGTACAGTACATGTACACATTCTGTATGCGGAATTTTTTTCTGCTTCTTTTTTATTACTAACGTGGTGACAGCAAAAGGATAGCGGTAATACACTAGCAACGCGTGTACGTCAGGGCAATGCTGTACATAGCCAGGGTGGGGTTGCGAGGCATTCTGGGTACTCATGCTCACAACACACAGTGATCAGCGCAAGCCTACATGCATTAAGATTGAGTCTCCCCTTGCATGCACCATCCATACGTACATTACTGTAATGTGTGTCCAGATTACAAGAAAATCATTTGATAAAAAAAAAATATTTAAAAAAATACACAAATAATCGTAACCAAGCACCGAACATCGTGCCTCTACACGTCTCTAACATACACCGCTGTCAAAAACAAAACAATGCTGTCGGATCGCAGTTAAATTTGAATAAAAATTCCGTCGGATAATCATATCCATACCGTCAATAAAAATCGATGTGAAGATGATTTAACAAGAAGACATTGTTGAATAAATTGATAAAACAAACAGAAACTAATTACTTGACTACCATTTTGGTAAGATCATGGTTAAACATTATTCACTTTATTTCATCAAATTTGGGGGCAAAATGTGACGTTTTTCTACGTTAAAATTTTGTTTTAAAATAATCTTCGGTCTTGTAATAAGTCTGAACTGCAGAAATTCATTCAATTCTCGACATTATTGCTTTTTTTATGGTTATCTTTTGTCCTAGAAAGTTCAGTGCTACGGTTCGTCTGGAAGTTCGAACTAAACAAAAAGTCCGCAAAATTACTGTATGTGTTGGTATCTAGTGAATCACACCATACGATACACGCGTATACTTGGACTTTCTTTATTGAAGTTAAGTTTGGTTGTTGGTAGTCCTTTTGTTTTTTCCTCAAAGTGCATAGGCCCATGAAATATCTTGCCGGCCTAAATCATTCGATCAAACAAAGCACGTCTAGTTGTGGGCTCCCATAACATTTCTGAAGGGTGGGGCCGGGGGAGAGGGAGGGGGCGACGGCACAAGGGCACACATATCTCAAGCGCCGGGAGGGGGTGTTGTGTGTCCCCATGCCCCCTTTAACTTACGCCTCTCAAACGTGCTGAAAAATTAATAACTTAGGAGGATAGTTCCACTTTTGAATTTCATTTGGTGACCGATGCAATTACTTTGGAAAACGTTTTGTACACCATGGAGATTTTGTGTTCATAGAAAGATGTTGACAGAAGAAATGTGTTCACAGTGATATGTTTTGATACAATAATTATTCAAAAGTATTGAGATATTTCTTTCTTTCTTTCCTTCTTTATTTTGAAATTTGTTTGTCTTCTTTTAAATAAAATATAGTCCATAAAAAAAAATGTTGTAGACGGACGGAAATATGTCGGTAGAGGGCGCTCTTTGCCAAAGATATTAATTTTTGCACTCGGTGTGCGTAGTCGACTACAAGTGGCATTGATACATTGTTGATAATTTTTAAATCATGTAAAATGAATCGCACATCGCATATCTGATGTCGAAACATGTGTACTGACATTTTCCCCAATGTTTTTTTCCCCTTCGTTTTTGGCTAATCATGCATTGTTGTAAATATTAATTTGTAATTGTATTTATTCATTTCAAATTTTATTTCGACAACATCCAATTAGCGCAAGCGCTAGAACAGGATGCCGACTTGGTAGGAGACGTGGAAGGAAATTACAGTTTTAGCGGTTGGAGGAAAACCCCAGAATGATATTCTAAACCATCAGACAGGGACTGGAAACCCAATACACATGTTGACCCAGGCGGGATTCGAACCTGGGTTAAGCAGCGGTGGAAGTCGAGGAAAGTACTGATATATACGCCAACCTGATCCCTTATCAGTTTCAATGATTTTCAGAAGGTTACGGACGCCCCCCCCCCCCCTCAAGGCCGGATTCAGAACACAAGTTATTTTTTGGGGGGCCAAAAAAATGTGTTCCGAAAATTTTCCGCCCTAAATTGAATATGAAAAGCAAGGGAGGGGTTAAGTTAATGTATTGCTTCTGTTGAGTTTTGTGGGTGTGTACGTGTACGCAATGGCTGCCTTTTGCGACGTTACTCGTTGCATGGCCCCCGTTACCCCCCCCCCCTCCCCTGGATCCGCCGTTGCGCCCCTCCCCCCCCCCCCCCCCCCCCCCACGGGCCCAAAACGGATGGAGGTTTTGGGGAGCTGAGAGAGGGGGAAATGTTTCTTAGAGAGTATGCCTGAACGCAAATAAATACTGGTGTTTTGTTTCGAGAATGCACGCGGTTTTGCCATGGTCAGTCAATTAAAAAAAACAGCCTTATCATGCATGCATGGTCGAAAATGTGATACATGTATTTTGTGTGAAAGCCACGTCTGATTTTGTTTGTCGAGGAGTACGCAAGACATCAGCCTAAAAACTAACTTGAAGCTTTAACACGAAATATAAACAACAAACAAACAAACACCCAACAACCCCAACAACTCAACACACACAAAAAAAAAAAAAAATTAGTGTTAAGCAAAATAGAAGCTTCCCCGGTTGGAAGCTTTTTGTGACAATCTTACTCAATGACTATATCATTTATACTCTAAAATCCTATCCATCCCAGCTTGCACTGTACAGTCACAGTAGGCCCCCCCCCCCTCCATTTTTTTTAATACGAGCAGATGAATTCCTTGTAAACTGATGTAAAATTGTTGATGCAACTGAGTTTCCGATGGTGCACATATACATCTACACATGTTAATCGTCGAATGTCCTCAGAACACGTATCTGTATGTACATTTTCAAGCCTGCATTTAAAAATATAAAATGATGTTTTAATTTTTCTAGTGGAAATAAGTGAAGGCTACAGTGTTACGCGTAAATATACAAAGCAAAGGTTAATTGATGCAATTTAAAGTTAACTTATCTCCAAATTACTATATAAAATAGGCACGGGTACAAACCATCTCCATCGAAGAAACTTCGACTATATAATGTGTGGCATCGAGTGCCAAGACGAAGTAATCTTATGCTAATGTAGTAGACTTCGTTATTCTTATCACTTTGTGTATCTGGTCTGGAATTTCCTACAAATATTAAAGCGAAGCCCCACAGCATGAAACGGCGCAATACCACAGACATTTATAGATCACCCAAAATATTGTATTGCGGAGATCGAGACCCAAACGTAACGGGTCACTAGTGAGACCATAATTATTCTTTACATAGTGGCAAAAAAAAAGTCAGATTCTTTTTTCCCTTGAATGGTTTCATACGGCAGTATAGGCCTCTACTCCTTCCTCCTGCAGCTATAGCTCTGGTCAGTTCGCCCTAGCAACCAACTCCGGATTGTTACTATTTTTAACTCAGGACGGGCTATTTTTAGGCACCCGAGAATTGCAGGGGCGACAGCTCAGAGGAAGTGCTTCACTATAGCGAGCAGCGAATCAGAGGTGCAGCATCCGCTCCCGGAGATGTCGAGGTTTGGGACTGGGCGGAAAAAAACTCGTACCTCCGAGAACGCCTCACCGGACTACTCGCGAGAAACCCCCGAGCAAAGTCGCTCCATTACACCACAATTCAACGGAGATGTTTCCGTCGCATCTCACGGAACTCTATATTGGCGACTCGGGTATACGCCGGACGCTGACGGGGAAAAAATGTAAGTGGCTCATCACGATATTTTCTTCCCATTCCGAGAAATCTAAGATCATTATGCACGGGTGCGACAGAGCGCTGATGCTTGCATTTTTTTTCGTTTGAGGGAAACTGTTGTGTCTCCATCTTACAGATTTTGCGTCATGCATCTTGATACTTAATGACATCCGCTTTGTAGATTGAACCTTCATCACTTATGTCTTTGACAAGTTGATGAAGACAAATGGATTCTTAGGTGATTTTTTGTGGCGTTTGTTCTCTTTCTAATTATTCAAATTAGGTAACGCACAGTACCGGCACCGCCCGTTTTGTCGCATCCGGTGCACAATTATTTCAGCAATGCTAAAAATCGCAATGAACGAATGTTGCAAACCCATCACGCACATCATACGCAATACAATGCAAGAAATCGAGACAATTAAATTTCAATATTGTGTATAGTTTTATCTCATTCAAATTTCATGTATCGTTTATTTTAACGACCGGGGTCGATCTCGATGGCAATTGGTTGCCGACTGCTTTATTATTATTTTTTGTGCATGCATGCAATCCAGGTGATTTATACGTCAACCGTGCCTTGAAAAATTAGAATAGCTCCGCCTCCTAATTTGAATATTTATTACTTCTCGGTAATTTAAATACTCTACCGCCGCGCCGCCGCTGCTGCCAAGCCTGATGACATTAAAAACAAATTCTCAAAAAGAGGCTGAGGTCCGTGGGAGGTTTGTCTCTTTTTTTTGAGGGGAGGGGGTTAAAATGTTTTACAATTTGACAAATTGGTTTGTACTCTGCAAGGTTATAGTGGTTTTTTTTTTAGTTTAAAGATGCATACCTATGCTCTTAAAACAAATGATTTGTTGTTCTACTAACGAATTTTAAATTTGTAGGTATTGTTTTAACGAAAAACACTACATTATTCCTATCTGGGCGTCTGCAACCCTCTGGGAAAAAAGGAATTTCCTTTTGCGCACAAATGAACCCGCCCTGCAAGAGCCGAATTATTGTCTGACAGCCAATAATTCGATTTTCGTGAAGAAACAATTCCCTAAATAGACGTCGGCGGATGTTTCGTTCGATGTCTCATTCAAAAGTGAATAACTTCTAGGAAAATAGCAACTGAAAAACGAAACAAAACAATTTTCCGACATGAAACACGGAAAATAACACCGGGAATACATCTTTAAAATTACTTTTGTCCTAGAGCGATAACACAATTGCCCCAGTTTTTGCAGGAGACAAAAATGGACCTTTTCATATAAATTTATTCCTTTATATACTATTTGTCAATTTAAACACGTTTGTTTTAAAGAAATTAAAATAAAAAACTAATTGGTCCGATTTGGGGCGTCTGCAACTCCTATAAAAGAGGACTTTCATCTTGCGTACAAAAAAACCCAATTTGTTTTTGTCGGGCTGCATATAATTCGAATTTTGTCAAGAAGTAACTTAATAACTAATCGCCAGTGGTTTTCTTGTCGGTCGAAGTCTCGTTCAAAAATGTATTACTTTCATATTGCTA